TGGCCTTTTGTATGGTCGCAGTCTCCTTTCGCTGAATAGAGATTGTTTGACCTTGTTTTCTCAACTTGGTTATATTGGTAGGAAGTCTTAGAGGAACGCACCAAGTTCGGAGTCCATTGTATGCATGATAATTCCAAAGCCGGACCAATATGGCCAAATTGCGAAACAAGGTCAATTGTACTTTGGTTGTATTCAGATTCCCCAACAAAAAATAATTATGTAGTGAGAATTATCTCGATGTATAAAAAAAACAAGTTGACAATCATTTCAAGCCGAATCCTCGTGTCGCTAGCCAAAGTCTTTGGGTGTTTTAATTTTCCAAAATGTCTAATAAGCAGCAAACAATCTCCCTCCTAGAAACCGCAGCATAATTTACCTTGGGTTACTATTTACTTCCAAGCTTGTACACTTAGATATTAGAATTATAATAATTCCTCTCTACCTGCAAGAAATTTAAAAGTAAAACTATCTAATGAATGTATAAATGAAACAATATTCTCGCGAAATGTTAGTCACAGGACAAAAAATTTAAGATTCTCAGATTATTGAATACCAAGGGTGAAATAGCTGGATTATTTATGCACAATGATAATGATCATAATTCGCCAAAATTTGCTATGCAAGCTTATTTTAGGCTGACGGTAATTTAAATAGTCATCTGAAAAATGAGGAAGATTGCGAGAAACCTTTCAACTTTGCCTGTAGAGGCCAATCTGGTAAACTCATTTATCTACAAATCTGACTGGTCTGGATACACAGGAAGGCAATGATAATGATGAGGTGTTATATAGCCTGATTCGACGCTCGGTAGGGCTTCTTTCAAATGCAGTCTAGACATAGGACGACTGTGCTTACTGGTCTCCTGGTGGGGTTTAGTAGGACAAGACACTAAATACGTATGGCGTTGTTGGTTCGAGTTGCAGTTGGGTGTGGCTAACAAAACATGTTTTGCCTCTTCTTTAGCATCCAAGTTATTTGGCATCTCTGACTGGTTAGCTAGGTAGCAGGTGTCAGGAATGTAAAGAACCTCTTTACATGCAAGGGCCTGTTGGTAGAAAGGTAAGCAAACTGAGTAGCCTGTCTCAGAAAGCCGACAGGATGGAGACCGTAGATCTACTCTAGCATGCTGCCACGAACGTGGTGACCTGTTCTGATAGACTGAAGAGGGCTGATTCTTGTCATCTTGATTATCAATCAAGACATGTGGGCCGAAGTCATCCCAATATTGTCTGATGGCTCGAGAAACAGGCTCCTGGATAGGGCTAATTCCTGGTAATCTTTCCATGTATGGGCCTAGTCTTAGTAGGGAGGATGTATTAGGCACCCAGCATTCTCGCCTTATCGGGTACTTTTGCTCGGATTTCTGAGACTGTAATAAGTGACTTTGTGACATTTCCTGTGGTGACGCTGAAGGTTGTTGCTCTTTTTCCTCCATCTGTTTAGCAACTTGCATTTGCTGCTTCAAAGTGATTTGGTTTAGACTCAGTTGGCTCGATTGCAAAGAGGCAGGAAGTTTTTCAGGAGACGCATCCTGTGGCAGTTGATGTTGATATTCACTGATATGCACCGATCGAGACCTGCGCATTTTATTCCAGCGATTGGATAGTTGAGGTTGACATTCAGATTTCTGTTGTTGAATTTCTTCAGCTTGCCGTGTTGCAGGCTCATTATCAAAACATAGGCTTTTGGACTTCGAGCTTGAATCTCGCTTATTCTTTTTGAGCCTTATGGAAAACCTCGGCAACTCTGAAGGATTTGGTACTGAGTATTCATGTATCATATCATCCAATAGCTGTTTATCCAACTCATCTTTCATTTTTTCTCCTCTGTCGTAGCTCAAAGTACTGTCGGTTATCTGTTGAACAAGCTGATCCATGTCACACAGACTAAGATGTGGGATGCGAGAAAGATCTGATTCTCCCGAGGTAAATAGCCTTTCTTCCTTCTTATCAGCCTTAGTGTTTGCAATGAGTGATCCCAACCTTCTTTCTTTGCCGAGAGCTGGTCTTTCTTGCCCCAAAGGAGATGAAGAATACACCTCAAAAGTCGATTGACGTTGTGGCATAGTTCTCCTGGGAATATAAGAGATATACTGACTCGCTGGAAGGCTGGGGCACGGACGAGATTGACTAGAGTGGATGGAGAACCTTTGTGCTCTAATTGGCTCCTCCACGTAAGCATCACAGACTACTTCTTTACCTGGCTGTACAGCAATATGTTTGCAGTCGGTCGAATTCGAGGAGGATCTTTTAACTGGTCTGTGGTTAATTTGACTAAGGAGACTCGAGGTTGCAAGTGATTGACTCCTAATTGGAATATTCTCTGAAAGGAGGGTGTCAATTTTTGTAGTTTTGCCCAACTTGTTTTCACTCTGAGCCAATAATATTGGCGGCAGGTTGGGGTCTTGGAACCCTTGGTACGAATGGGCCCTAGATCGGGGTCTCGAACAAGTAATATTGCGTTCCTTTGCTATTGCTTTTAGGCCATGAAACTTCGTACTCATCCCAAGTGACTCTCGTTCTGTTGCATTACTCTTGTGATGTAATCGCACATGTTTAAGACTATGTGATCTAGATTTAAGCTGTGTAGCTGGCATTATGCGCCGCAATACCGGATTTAAGCTGTTTGGTGACCCGATTTGAGAATAGTAGAGTAAAATGGGTTCAGAGG